AATAACAGTGAAGGACAACAAAGTGGCCAGACTACACGACAGGTGATTGAGTCGGAGCAGCTGCTCCTTGTGCTTGGAGAGGAAGTAACCCAAGACAAGGGGCAGACACTGACGTAACACCAGAGGAAGCAATAAGGCAACTTGCGTCACTAGAGGAAGCAATAAGGCAACTTGCGTCACCAGAGGAAGCAATAAGGCAACTTGCGTCACCAGAGGAAGCAATAAGGCAACTTGCGTCACCAGAGGAAGCAATAAGGCAACATGCGTCACCAGAGGAAGCAATAAGGCAACATGCGTCACCAGACGAAGCAATAAGGCAACTTGCGTCACCAGAGGAAGCAATAAGGCAACTTGCGTCACCAGAGGAAGCAATAAGGCAACTTGCGTCACCAGAGGAAGCAATAAGGCAACTTGCGTCACCAGAGGAAGCAATAAGGCAACATGCGTCACCAGAGGAAGCAATAAGGCAACTTGCGTCACCAGAGGAAGCAATAAGGCAACTTGCGTCACCAGAGGAAGCAATAAGGCAACTTGCGTCACCAGAGGAAGCAATAAGGCAACTTGCGTCACCAGAGGAAGCAATAAGGCAACTTGCGTCACCAGAGGAAGCAATAAGGCAACTTGCGTCACCAGAGGAAGCAATAAGGCAACTTGCGTCACCAGAGGAAGCAATAAGGCAACTTGCGTCACCAGAGGAAGCAATAAGGCAACTTGCGTCACCAGAGGAAGCAATAAGGCAACTTGCGTCACCAGAGGAAGCAATAAGGCAACTTGCGTCACCAGAGGAAGCAATAAGGCAACTTGCGTCACCAGAGGAAGCAATAAGGCAACATGCGTCACCAGAGGAAGCAATAAGGCAACTTGCGTCACCAGAGGAAGCAATAAGGCAACTTGCGTCACCAGAGGAAGCAATAAGGCAACATGCGTCACCAGAGGAAGCAATAAGGCAACTTGCGTCACCAGAGGAAGCAATAAGGCAACATGCGTCACCAGAGGAAGCAATAAGGCAACTTGCGTCACCAGAGGAAGCAATAAGGCAACTTGCGTCACCAGAGGAAGGGAACGTTGTTGAGCAAAATGCATCCCCATGGATGTTGAAAGAAGGTGCACAGACATAAGCATACTTCTACCTTTGTTCTCAATGTTTCACTGGGGAAGGGGGAGGACAGGCGTTTCCCAGCAGGTGTAAGATGAGAAATGTGGTGCCACAACATTACACAGGAAACAAGGAGGTTGCAGATAACCATATAGCCAGTGCCACTGACAATATTTCCATGCAAAGTACTGGAAATAATTTTAATTATACGATTTATAAAACATTTAAGAGATAACGACGTATTTAAACCAACCTTCAACTCAGTATGTGAGAAGTAAATGATACCTAACGAACCTACTTGAGCTATACAAAAAATTAACGAAAGTTATAAAAGGCCCAACAGGACGGACAGACTGTGTATGTATAGACTAAGATAGTTGTTAACACAGTTTCGCATAAAAGACATCTACATCAACTCAGAAAAGAGGCAGTAGTGACTGGAAGAACATGAGAATACCAACCAGACAGGAGTCAGCACGTCACAGTGAGAGGGGCTAGAGTCACACTTAATGTAGACACCCAATCTAGTTATTTTGTTATGTTATTGATCTAAGCAAAATTAAGACAGCGGGACACTTGAGGATTGTCAAATATTTCATGAAGATTGTTATATACTTATAATACAAATATTTCAAAATATGTGAAGGATGTGAACGGGCGTGGTCCAGGGTGGACCAGAAATGAGATTCGTGGCCAACGTGGCTAGTGAGGGCAGGCATAGCTAGAGTAACTTTGTTGATAGTAATCTGGGAAGTGAGAAAAAAATGAGATGCTTACGAAATTGTTCATAGTCTATTTAATGTAATCGAAAATGTATCAGAGCTTGTGTTACCTTTGTCTGCACGTCACACGTGTGTCACCAGCCGCGCGGCACGTCTTAAGGGACAAGTAGAGATGTTGATATATTTACATTAATACCAAAACAAATAAGATCACAACAAATGGTGGCGTAATTAAGAACACGAAAATTGGTGGCAACGAAAACCGGTATTAGAAGGTACATTAGAAGGAAAACCGGTATTAGAAGGTACATTAGAAGGAAAACCGGTATTAGAAGGTACATTAGAAGGAAAACCAGTATTAGAAGGTACATTAGTAGGAAAACCGGTATTAGAAGGTATATTAGAAGGAAAACCGGTATTAGAAGGTACATTAGAAGGAAACCGGTATTAGAAGGTACATTAGAAGGAAAACCAGTATTAGAAGGTACATTAGTAGGAAAACCGGTATTAGAAGGTACATTAGAAGGAAAAGCGGTATTAGAAGGTACATTAGAAGGAAAACCGGTATTAGAAGGTACATTAGAAGGAAAACCGGTATTAGAAGGTACATTAGAAGGAAAACCGGTATTAGAAGGTACATTAGAAGGAAAACCGGTATTAGAAGGTACATTAGAAGGAAAACCGGTATTAGAAGGTACATTAGAAGGAAAACCGGTATTAGAAGGTACAAAAAAGGAACCATGTCATCAGTTCCATTTTGTGGGACAATGATAGACGTTTTGACGTAAGTTTAGTGGTGTTGAGAGAGATAGTTTCAGATGAGAGGAATGTTAGGTCAGAGTAAAACCAGGTCAGAGGAAGAGTGAGGTATAGTGGTTAGGTCATTAGGGGCAATTTTGCGTATATACGTTTTTTATTTCTTTACAGGATATCACCAACGAGAGATTCCCCAAAATATATTTTTATTTACAATATGCGGTGTTGGATAGTAAAGCGTAGTGTTCTTAGCATGAATTATAGCTAATGGCTAGAGTGATTAGCGTGGGTAAGCATCGGCAAGTGTAGGGCGTGATAGGCATGCCCAGTAGGCTGGAGTATAGAGAGGGCGAGGTGTATACCGTTAGAATAGCGGTAATATAGAGAAACCATTGATAAGTTAAATCAAGAGTGAAAATTAAGTGATTTAAATTAAGCTAAATTAAGTGCCGATTGTATTTTAAAATGTTTTTAAAGAGCACTATGAAATAATTACAGTTTTGGGTGATTTACGGCGTTATCAAGCGTTTGACTAAGAAAAAGGAGCAGAACCCAACTGAAAAGATTTAGTTTTATATATATTATATATATATATATTATATATATATATATATATATATATATATATATATATATATATATATATATATATATATATATATATATATATATATATATATATATATATATATATATATATATATATATATATATATATATATATATATATATATATATATATATATATATATATATATATGTCGTACCTAGTAGCCAGAACGCACTTCTCAGCCTACTATGCAAGGCCCAATTTGCCTAATAAGTCAAGTTTTCATGAATTAATTGTTTTTCGACTACCTAACCTACCTACCCTAACCTAACCTAACTTTTTCGGCCACCTAACCTAACCTAACCTATTAAGATAGGTTAGGTTAGGTTAGGGAGGCTTGGTTAGGTTCGGTCATATATCTACGTTAATTTTAACTCCAATAAATAAAAATTGACCTCATACATAATGAAATGGGTAGCTTTATCATTTCATAAGAAAAAAATTAGAGAAAATATATTAATTCCGGAAAACTTGGCTTATTAGGCAAATCGGGCCTTGCATAGTAGGCCGAGAAGTGCATTCTGGCTATTAGGTACGACATTATATATATATATATATATATATATATATATATATATATATATATATATATATATATATATATATATATATATATATATATATATATATATATATATATATATATATATATATATATATATATATATATATATATATATATATATATATATATATATATATATATATATGTCGTACCTAGTAGCCAGAACTCACTTCTCAGCCTATACTATGCAAGGCCTGATTTGCCTAATAAGCCTAGTTTTCATGAATTATATATATATATATATATATATACAAGAGTTCTTATATTCTTGTACAGCCACTAGTACGCGTAGCGTTTCGGGCAAGTCCTTAATCCTATGTTCCCTGGAATACGACCCCGCGAAGAATCGTTTTTACAACCAGGTTCCCTTTTTACTGTTGAGTTAAACAGAGGCTACAGTTAAGGATTTGCGTCCAGTAAATCCTCCCCGGCCAGGATACGAACCCATGACAAAGCGCTCGCGGAACGCCAAACGAGTGTCTTACCACTACGCTACGGAGACTGCCGTAGCGGATAGTTCTGTTATATTTTTTTTGTATTTTAATACATTTGGGGAGTTTTCTTGGACAGTTTAATAATTTCGTTGGCGAATGCTTAACAAATTTTGCAATGGTTTTTAAGCTATTGAAAACCAAGAAGATTAGCGGAATAAACGGACAGGAAATATGACCTTATGGAGTTATAACCAACAGCTACATGTAAACAAAATAAATAAATAAACAATCATTAATAACGAAGAAATTGTACTATTCTTGAAATAACAAACAATAATTTGAATACTAATAATATGAATAAATAAACCTCCATTACATACGACCAGCATGTCTGGCCATGAGAAACCCAAACACTAAAATAACATGAACGTTGACCACTGATGACTTAATATGCATCAATGACATTCTGACTACTGGTGACATGATATACATCAATGACATGACTGACCACTGATGACATAATATGCATCAATGACCACTAGTGACATGATATACATCAATGACATAACTGACCACTGATGACTTAATATGCATCAATGACCAGTAGTGACATGATATATATCAATGTGACATAACTGACCACTGATGACATAATACGCAACTGAACAATGATACATTTAATGATCCCTTCAATACGGCTCAGGAAGAATAAGTACCTCCTTATCTCATCGTAAATGCAATATAATCCTTCCAATGTTTATATAAAAAATAACGCAACCGTAAGGTTGAAATTCTATGATGTTTGAGACAGTCTTACCTTGTGGAAAAGGGGCGTTTGCTATATGATTGATGCCTTTGGTGTTTCCTCTTGCTGTTTTAAGACTGAAGATGCCCCTATTCTCTGTAGAGGGGGGGGGGAGGGGGGCAATGCCCCCTTGAGCATCTGGGTGTATCACACTGCCAGCTTCACCTGAACCTCAGCTGCCGTTCGAGCTTAAGCATTACATGGTTCTCGAGTAACTTTTCCTCACAAGCTTGAGTCAACAAAGGGTTTTCATCGAATATTGGCCACTTATTTCCAAAAAAGTTGTTGATTTCTTGTAAATATTGCTCTAAGCACCGCACTCCAAATGGCTTTCACACTAACTAGTATTTCTCATAATAGCTTTCTTGGCAAGATAACTGTTCTGGCTCGCCTTATCATATATAATTTACACTCGGTGGTTCATCACCAAACACTGGCAACCAAGGTTGAGTTACTACCACTTACGTCATACTTGCCATCCATAAATCTGGTTGACGTGGCCACTAGTTAAGACACACTCGTAAGCTACCGCCTGCGATTGGCTTTGATGTCCGGGTCGTTACTGGTGAACCATCACGTCAGCAGGTAACCAGCGCCAGTTAGCACCACCGCAGTGTAACTCAACCCGACTGTCAACAAAGACGACGATTTTGTACACCACCAACAACTCACGCTTGTCTGAGCGCCAACGTAAAGCTCAATCACTGCTTGTTGAACATCTCTTTCCTCCAACCATTATGTCCAAACACCAATTTACAAAAAACACCATAATCACCAACCCGTAAATATGGTAAAAGTGATACATAGAAGGCATTAGAAGCCTCAACAACCCAATAGTAATTACCGTCGTGCCCTCAACAACATTCTCCTCAAATCGCCAATAATTTCAGAGAACGAGAGAGAAGCTGGACACCACAGAGGCCTAGGGCTCAACGCACCCAGCACGCCACGCTGACGGAGCTCCACTGAGGACCACGACCCTCACTCTCTCTCTCTCTCTCTGCCGCCTGTGGTTCACTCTGCCACGACCAGTCCTCCGTCCGCGAGCGGCGAGGGCGCCACACCAACTGGAGTTGTTTCAAACCTGCGTCTCGCTGCCTCCACCCTCACTACTGCCATTTCACTCCTCACCTCGTTATTATCATCACACTGCCTCCCATACCGCTATCATCACACTCCCTCCCACACCACCACCACCACCACCACACTGTCCTCCCACACCACCACCACCACATTGTCCTCCCACACCACCACCACCACCACCACACTGCCTCCCACACCACCACCACCACCACCACACTGCCTCCCACACCAACACCACCGCCATCACACTGTCCTCCCACACCACCACCACCACCACCACACTGCCTCCCACACCAACACCACCGCCATCACACTGTCCTCCCACACCACCACCACCACACTGCCTCCCACACCACCACCACCACCACCACACTGCCTCCCACACCAACACCACCGCCATCACACTGCCTCCCACACCACCACCACCACCACACTGCCTCCCACACCACCACCGCCATCACACTGCCTCCCACACCAACACCACCGCCATCACACTGCCTCCCACACCACCACCACCATCACACTGCCTCCCACACCACCACCAACATCACACTGCCTCCCACACCACCACCACCACCATCACACTGTCCTCCCACACCACCACCACCACCATCACACTGTCCTCCCACACCACCACCACCACCACCACACTGTCCTCCCACACCACCACCACCACCATCACACTGTCCTCCCACACCACCACCATCACACTGTCCTCCCACACCACCACCACCACCATCACACTGTCCTCCCATACCACCACCAACATCACACTGCCTCCCACACCACAACCACCACCATCACACTGCCTCCCACACCACCACCACCACCATCACACTGTCCTCCCACACCACCACCACCACCATCACACTGCCTCCCACACCCACACCACCACCAACATCACACTGCCTCCCACACCACCACCACCACCATCACACTGCCTCCCACACCATCACCACCATCACCATCTCACTGCCTCCCACACCACCACCACCACCACCATCACACTGTCCTCCCACACCACCACCACCACCATCACACTGCTTCCCACACCACCACCATCACACTGTCCTCCCACACCACCACCACCACCATCACACTGTCCTCCCACACCACCACCACCATCACACTGTCCTCCCACACCACCACCACCACCACCATCACACTGTCCTCCCACACCACCACCACCACCACCATCACACTGTCCTCCCACACCACCACCACCACCATCACACTGTCCTCCCACACCACCACCACCACCACCATCACACTGCCTCCCACACCACCACCATCACACTGTCCTCCCACACCACCACCACCACCACCACACTGCCTCCCACACCACCACCACCACCATCACACTGCCTCCCACACCACCACCATCACACTGTCCTCCCACACCACCACCACCATCACACTGTCCTCCCACACCACCACCACCATCACACTGTCCTCCCACACCACCACCACCATCACACTGTTCTCCCACACCACCATCACACTGTTCTCCCACACCACCACCACCATCACACTGTTCTCCCACACTATCACCTCCATCACACTGTTCTCCCACACCACCTCCACCATCACACTGTTCTCCCACACCACCACCACCATCACACTGTCCTCCCACACCACCACCACCACCACCATCACACTGCCTCCCACACCACCACCATCACACTGTCCTCCCACACCACCACCACCACCACCACACTGCCTCCCACACCACCACCACCACCATCACACTGCCTCCCACACCACCACCATCACACTGTCCTCCCACACCACCACCACCATCACACTGTCCTCCCACACCACCACCACCATCACACTGTCCTCCCACACCACCACCACCATCACACTGTTCTCCCACACCACCACCACCATCACACTGTTCTCCCACACCACCACCACCATCACACTGTTCTCCCACACCACCACCACCATCACACTGTTCTCCCACACCACCACCACCATCACACTGTTCTCCCACACCACCACCACCATCACACTGTCCACCCACACCACCACCACCATCACACTGTCCTCCCACACCACCACCACCATCACACTGTCCACCCACACCACCACCACCACCACCATCACACTGTCCTCCCACACCACCACCACCACCACCATCACACTGTCCTCCCACACCACCACCACCACCATCACACTGTCCTCCCACACCACCACCACCATCACACTGTCCTCCCACACCACCACCACCACCACCATCACACTGTCCTCCCACACCACCACCACCATAACCATCACACTGTTCTCCCACACCACCACCACCATCACACTGTCCTCCCACACCACCACCACCACCATCACACTGTCCTCCCACACCACCACCACCATCACACTGTCCTCCCACACCACCACCATCACACTGTCCTCCCACACCACCACCACCATCACACTGTTCTCCCACACCACCACCACCATCACACTGTCCTCCCCACACCACCACCACCACCACCATCACACTGTCCTCCCACACCACCACCACCACCACCAACACACTGTCCTCCCACACCACCACCATCACACTGTCCTCCCACACCACCACCACCATAACACTGTCCTCCCACACCACCACCACCACCACCATCACACTGCCTCCCACACCACCACCATCACACTGTCCTCCCACACCACCATCACCACCACCACACTGCCTCCCACACCACCACCACCACCATCACACTGCCTCCCACACCACCACCATCACACTGTCCTCCCACACCACCACCACCATCACACTGTCCTCCCACACCACCACCACCATCACACTGTCCTCCCACACCACCACCACCATCACACTGTTCTCCCACACCACCACCACCATCACACTGTTCTCCCACACCACCACCACCATCACACTGTTCTCCCACACTATCACCACCATCACACTGTACCTCCCACACCACCTCCACCATCACACTGTTCTCCCACACCACCACCACCATCACACTGTCCTCCCACACCACCACCACCACCACCATCACACTGCCTCCCACACCACCACCATCACACTGTCCTCCCACACAACCACCACCACCACCACACTGCCTCCCACACCACCACCACCACCATCACACTGCCTCCCACACCACCACCATCACACTGTCCTCCCACACCACCACCACCATCACACTGTCCTCCCACACCACCACCACCATCACACAGTCCTCCCACACCACCACCACCATCACACTGTTCTCCCACACCACCACCACCATCACACTGTTCTCCCACACCACCACCACCATCACACTGTTCTCCCACACCACCACCACCATCACACTGTTCTCCCACACCACCACCACCATCACACTGTTCTCCCACACCACCACACCACCATCACACTGTCCACCACCCACACCACCACCACCACCACCATCACACTGTCCTCCCACACCACCACCACCACCACCATCACACTGTCCTCCCACACCACCACCACCACCATCACACTGTCCTCCCACACCACCACCACCATCACACTGTCCTCCCACACCACCACCACCACCACCATCACACTGTCCTCCCACACCACCACCACCACCACTTTCACACTGTCCTCCCACACCACCACCACCACCACTTTCACACTGTCCTCCCACACCACCACCACCATAACCATCACACTGTTCTCCCACACCACCACCACCATCACACTGTCCTCCCACACCACCACCACCACCATCACACTGTCCTCCCACACCACCACCACCATCACACTGTCCTCCCACACCACCACCATCATACTGTCCTCCCACACCACCACCACCATCACACTGTTCTCCCACACCACCACCACCATCACACTGTCCTCCCACACCACCACCACCACCACCATCACACTGTCCTCCCACACCACCACCACCACCATCACACTGCCTCCCCACACCACCACCATCACACTGTCCTCCCACACCACCACCACCACACTGCCTCCCACACCACCACCACCATCACACTGTCCTCCCACACCACCACCACCATCACACTGTCCTCCCACACCACCACCATCACACTGTCCTCCCACAACACCACCACCACCACCAACACACTGTCCTCCCACACCACCACCATCACACTGTCCTCCCACACCACCACCACCATAACACTGTCCTCCCACACCACCACCATCACACTGTCCTCCCACACCATCCCCACCACCATCACACTGTCCTCCCACACCACCACCATCACACTGTCCTCCCACACCACCACCACAATCACACTGTCCTCCCACACCACCACCATCACACTGTCCTCCCACACCACCACCACCATCACACTGTCCTCCCACACCACCACCATCACACTGTCCTCCCACACCACCACCACCACCACCAGCACACTGTCCTCCCACACCACCACCACCACCACCACCATCACTCTGTCCTCCCACACCACCACCATCACACTGTCCTCCCACACCACCACCACCATCACACTGTTCTCCCACACCACCACCACCATCACACTGTCCTCCCACACCACCACCACCACCACCATCACACTGTCCTCCCACACCACCACCACCACCATCACACTGCCTCCCACACCACCACCATCACACTGTCCTCCCACACCACCACCACCACACTGCCTCCCACACCACCACCACCATCACACTGTCCTCCCACACCACCACCACCATCACACTGTCCTCCCACCACCACCACCATCACACTGTCCTCCCACACCACCACCATCACACTGTCCTCCCACACCACCACCACTACCACCAGCACACTGTCCTCCCACACCACCACCATCACACTGTCCTCCCACACCACCACCACCATAACACTGTCCTCCCACACCACCACCATCACACTGTCCTCCCACACCACCACCACCATCACACTGTCCTCCCACACCACCACCATCACACTGTCCTCCCACACCACCACCACCATCACACTGTCCTCCCACACCACCACC